TAAAATATCTCAACAACAACCAAAGTGTGTAATAGAACATTTCTGAACAAACCAGAAAACATACATTAATAAATCCATCGGTTAAAATACATGGTTGATACAAATCTAAACTTTAGCAAACGCAGTCCCAATGGACCTTCTTGTGAGTATTCATTAATGATGAACTAAGTACACGCATTGTCTCTCCAAGTAACGAATGGCCAGATGTGATGACCATGCAATCGTATCATTTGCAATTAAATACCCCTCCAGCTCAAGTACATAAAATGGAACAATCTGTGACATTGCCAGCGGTGGCAGAACTTTTGGTGTCAGTTCACCAGACAACAGTAACAGGTGACAGGTGACGGAGGGCGGGGACGCCTGGTGTTTAACAGGGGTAAGCAGGCATATGTCCCACGCCCTCCACTAACCAGATGCAACAACTCCCTGGAGCCGCACAAGGCCGCACCTGGAGCTTATTGATATTCCATTCAGATTAAACATGGCCATACAAGGGCGACATTGTGCTACATTGAAATTTGATGTACATTTGTGGGTGGGGCAGTCTTGTTTGTACATTAAACAGAGCATAAACACACATGAAATGTGCACATAAATAAATAAAAAGAATACATGAATACTAAAAAAACACCTATAACTTTCAAAACACTAAGACGCTTCAGACACGTAGACACCTAAACACTTAAAGACACTTGAGAAGGTACACACAAAAACAACAACTAAACAATTAATACAATACACAATACAATATGCAATTGAGGTAATACAATGTTACAGTGACAATATGCAATAATAAAACGCATATAATGCAATACCACATGCTCAGAAGATACGTAACGCAGTGCATATGTACACAGTACACATTACGCAGGACACATGAGTGATAATCTGAGATATTAACATGTTAACGCGCGCAATGCAGTAGCGATAGTAGTGTACAATCAATGTGGCTGCAGAGGTAATACAATTTGCAATAGAGGTAATACAATATACAATAATACAAAGTGCAATAATAAACACATATTATGCTGTACTCATATGCACAATTGATACGAGACGCAGTAACAGCTCGGCAACCGAATGGCGCCGTGGGCTCCAACAAGGCTAGTGTAAGGGGACTTTTATTTACTTACTCAGGGTAAATAATAGGTGGCTGTTGCACTTATGTCTAACATAACCATACAATACGTTAATCAGAGTGCATAAAGCATTCCTGCACAACATTAGTACTTGCAGTACCTCTGCGACAGTTTTGAGTATTAACTGTTCCGTTCTAGGGTAAAATGTCATTCTTCTCGCCACATAATATTGTTGCGTGCGAACGGGTTCGTTATGAAATCAATGCACAAGTCCGATGAAAAATGAACAAAAATTTATTATTATCACAACAAAAATGCTTAAATTTTCTCAAATTATCATGCAGTATTACAATATCTCACAGTAGTTATCTTTTAACTACTCAAATGTCCAATAGAACGTAATTCAAAACAGCTAAAGAAAGCTAATCCGCGAATTCGCTACAATCAACAAGAGCAGTTTTCTAAACAACAACAAACTAAGCAACTACTCGAATTGGGAGGTTTTCCTCCTTTTATAAGATTTTTAAATCGCGTGCGAGAATTTTCTGGTACTTTCTCGAAATCAAAAAGACATATTTATTTATTTAATGTTAAATGCACGTGCTCTTGTATTTTCAATTTTTTCGGCTTAGCTTTCTTTTAATATTCGTCACGCGCTGCACTGCGCGGGAAATAAAACCATTTAATTTATAATTGAACTAACATTAGCTTTTTAAATACCAAATTCGTAACAATATTGTAAGGCCATGTATTGTGAATGGCTATTGTGGTCGAAAGAAGACTAGAAAAATCAGGACGTTTTTCCGGGTTTGCAAGATGCATGTCTTACTGAACATGGATCTTGTATGGATACTATATTACAATGGATCACAGAACTAGACTAGAAGAGAAACACGCTAATGTGACAATCAAAATCGTAAAAACAACCTTGTATTTAGCGTAGGTATAATGAAACACTCAATCGATTTCGAGGGCAGCTAAAGGTCCCTCCTCATCAGGAGAAAGAAATACATAGAAAGAAGAAAATAAAGGAGAAGGAGTCACAGAAACACGTGGTCCTTATCAGCAGAAAGAAGAAAATAAAGGAGAAGGAGTCACAGAAACACGTGGTCCTTTCATTTTCTATCATGTATTTCTTTCACTATGACCTTTAGCTGCCCTCGAAATCGATGAGTGTTTCATTATACCTACGCTAAATACAAGGTTGTTTTTACGATTTTGATTGAGGATCACAGAACCTTTCGTACTGTTGACCAAGGCAGAGACATATCGTGCGACACCGCTTGAGCATTCGTTGAAGAATATTGGGAATCGGACGCGCTTTCGACCACGGATAGGGCGATGTTCCATAGTTTAATTTGAAATCCGTCCACCTCCTCGCGGCACACACAAATCTTCAGCTTCTTCAAATTTAGGTAATCATCCTTTTTAGACCCTGCCTCGACATAAGCATTTTTGTAAGCCTTTCAAGCATCAAAATTCTCGGACTGCAATTGAAAAATTTGTGCAATTCTGATAAAATAACGTGATCAATAAAACTCAACCTTTCTTCGCTAAAGGCTCGGGTGAAGAATGATTTTACGGTATTGACTACTGGATTTTTAGAATGATCGAAATTTTTCCTAACGTTCGTTCTGACTTTCCTAAAATGCGGCAAAAGCGCCATCTGTCGATCTAAATTTGAACAATTAATTTTCATTGCAGATTTCTGTTCTCCATGGTCTATATAACGTATTATAGACTCTTTTATTATTTATTCGTATGTTTTTAGTTACAAAAGCAAAACGCTCTGTGTATATAGTTTTTTTTTTAACAGCAAAAAAATGTTTTTACTGTTTGAAATTAAAGTATTTATTTTCCCAAATGATAAATTTGGCGATTTACACCAATTTCCGTTCTCGAAGATTGGTTGGGTGCATGCGGTTTTATGATTTTCTGTATCTGCAGCGTGAATAAAAGCCACTTGCTGATATCGTTTGAAGGTAGATGATCATGTGAGATAGCCAAATTATGTAGAAAACGCCAAAGCTGTAACTCTAGCTCTAATTGTAAATCTTGTAGCGTCATCTAGACGCACGCGCTCATTGTTCCAACAGGCTGACGGCAACCTGAAATAGGAAAAGGCTGCATAAAGAGTTTGAATGCTTTTTAATTCTTTGTATGCTATTGTAATTAAATTCTAGTTAATTATTAATAGTGTATGGAGGCCTTTTTTGCTTACATGTGTTTATATCCTCACAATATAAATTTATAGGATTTTTGAAATTGTTTTAAAATATGCTTAAATTTCTAAAATTCTTTTCATTTTTAATTTTACTGTTTGAAAGATAAGCTTAGATCTTAATTAAGTTAAGCTTAGATCTAATATTAAATATATTTTTTACATATGTTAAGCTGACTTCTCTGACACTTCACTGCAGTCTTTCTAAAAGGAGGTCTGTTGTAGTCTTTGACTTTAAATAACAAAGTGCTCACTGTTTATGAATATCAAACATCATATAAGTTAATTATTTTATTTTGAAATGAGTACAAGTCTAGTTAAATTAGCCTTCATCTCTAATTTTGTGATTTCAATTATTACATTAAAATTTCGAGATTCATTATAGGCAAATTTATGCTGAGGAAAAGGTTTCTATATCAGATCACTTGATTCATTTTCAAAGCTTATTTCATTGTTATACAGGATATCTAAAACACATCTTTACAAATTAAAATATTTATGACACAAATTGTAAGTCAGATACTGAAATGCATTTTATTGTATATAATGCAGAACTTCATTAAGTTTTTTAAATTTTAGCTCAAAAGGCGTTAGCCCAGAAGGATTATTAATTTCGTTCTAGCACTTTGTGATGAAAACTTTAAATGTGCGTTTCACTTTTCAAATGGTTGCCACCAAATATTAGAGCCCGGCGTTATATTTAAAGATATTGAATAATAAAGAATCTGCATAAATGCATGTATGTTTCTCGCATTGTGATACAACAACGGTACCTAGATGCATAAAAGTTTTAATAACATAATCCTCCACAGATTACGACCATCTGGAAGCCCTAATTTGGAATTCGTTTTATTATTGATTTCATATTTTGTAATACGTTTACGAATTTTTGATTAACAAAGTCAACGATTTCAAAGGGAGCAATGGCAACACTGTACGGAAAAAAACATTTTTATCGCCAGGGCGCGAGACTTTGCATAAAAAATTCTGAAGATATACTCATTTTAAAATTATTTTGGGATATTGCTATTGAATTGAATTTTATGGCTTAAGTGCAAAGAACACGACATTTAATAAATAAACATAATACACAAAACGTTAAAAAAAGGCCCCTTTGGACGTAATACAAAACCCTGTCAATTAAATTTAAATTTTTATACTGTTTTTTATTTTATTTTGCTGTTGTGGAGGTGAATCATTAGGAAGTGACCATGTGAATGTCACTGGAGAAAGCACCTTGTGTTCACAGTCTAAATCAGATAAATAGAAACAGCTCAACTTTGGGATGCACGCATGCAAGTACGAAAGGTGGGCAAAATACTGAAGTAATGAAGATACTGAAGCAGCTAAGTTCCTGTGCATAAGATGGAAAGAAAGTGTGCGTAAAACATAACCTTTTAATATTCGCAAATGACGAAAATTAACAATGAAAACAATAAATTATTCAATCAAGCTGTATATAAAAAGCATGTTTCATCTTAAATTTTACCTAACAGCAAAATATTATTCATAATCTGCAGCAGTTGTTTCTCGCAGTGAAGTAGAATTCTGGGAATGCATCGTTATTTATAGTACTTACGTGACATTTCTTGCCACCGTTCTTATCTCTTAATTATTTCCGCTGCCCGCTAATTATAAACAGCAGTTTCCTTTCGCTAGTCTTAAGCCAAGTTACATTCTCTTAAAGAAAGCACCGATAGAAAGTATCAGTTATGGATTTATGAATGTAAAACTGGTTTTTATTTAGAAATTTTCTAATTTAATAAGAAACTAAGGTCTACTGAAAGAATGAAGAAGATATTATTGTTTGTAACAGTTCTGATTACCTCGGGATCTTTGGCAAATGTTCATGGTAAGTACGTATAAATACTACAGAGTTATTTTAAAATTCAAATTTTTCTCATATCATCTTGTACACTTATATAAAATTATTTTGAAGTAATATTTGGAGAAATTCAACTTACTTAATGAAGCTGATAATTGAAGTATTAAAAAATAATGGTTTGCCGACTGAAGAAGAAACCAAATTTCCTTGCTCAGGCAGAAATCCTTGCGTGGCAGATTATTATGAGTACAAAAGAAAAAGAGAATTTTCCATTTTACTGTAACAATGAGTTAATAATTCTGATTTGGAAAGTAAACCAAAGAAAACCTTATGTTATTACATAAAATGTTCTAAAACATCACTCATTAAAAACATTCTAAGAGATGTTTGTTTTCGCATATAAATTATGATTATTAAATTCTCTTAGCTGCTGAATAATATTTGCGAGTTTAAAATAACTACATTACCAGGAGAATCTCAATAAATTTAAATTGTAATTTTTTCACACGCAGATTTTGCCTCGCAGACAATGTCTTTAGTTTTTCTTAAAGGGCTCCAGCAATAATCTATGAACAAATTTGGAGTTTGTTGACTGTGAATGCACGGTTCAAACTTGTATCAATATATGTAAAAGTATTTCAAATGCTTATCATTTTTAATAAAGTTCCTACGGAAAATAATAAAATGATATAAAAAAGTAGAGTTTCTAAAACTGTGACCATCTTCAACTTTCATAGTTCTCTTTTATAATTTAAGAATTAACTGAGAATATATAGTTCTACGAGCTTTTATAATGTTTAGGCATTTTTTAAAGACGTTCTAAGCCATTCTTTAAAGACGTTTCTCTTCTATTCTTTACGACGTTCTTGTACAAAAGTAAAGGAAGTATTGTAATCACGAAAAATTTCGGGTATCATATTTCAACCGCTCTTAAAACTATTTGAACGATGTTTCCGCCTGACATCTGTACGTACGGACAAAAAAGACAGTTTTTTCAAAAAGGATTGTGAATTGGATTTAAAATGGATTCAGAAGAGATTTTTTTTTATGTCTGTACGTATATACCTATGTACATACATAGGTATGTATGTATCTTGCATAACTCAAGACCTAATAGCCGTTGAAATTTTGTATATGTTACAGCTATAACATGTAGTATCTAGTTGTCCACCTCCCTTTTTCGTTGCAATCGGCTTCACCAATCATTATAATCATATATTTCCACTCTATTACCCGGCTCGTTGAGCTTGGTTTTTTATTCTTATATGCCAGTAAATTGTGCATGTTTTGCTTTAAAAGTGATTGAATTATGTGCGTTTTATGTTACGGTTAAGATTTTTATGCCTTTAGTTAATCTGCGTGGAAGAGTAAGACTAGAAACTCCAATTTTAACAGTAAAATTCTTTTTTTAAACAGTTTTAACTATATTTGGTGCTTTATGTTTTCTGTATTTTACAATTTTGAATGAAGATTTTTTGAGCTTTTATTTATTCTTGCTTTGCCGAAAAGTGAGAATAGAATGAATTGAATGAGAAATATATCTATAATGAACTTCGAGGAAATAAGTTTAAATGAAATGCAGCAAGAAAGATGTATAATTTAATAGGCCATACACGGTGTGGTGATCCACGGTTTGAAAATGGTTTCTGAATCAGAAGAGATTCGTGCACTAACCTAGTGCTTCGCATTAGAGAGTAAAGAACATCTATGATATAAAAATATACTTTTATTTACACAGTGAAAACGCGCAGCAACATTATTAACGAAAGCTCATTCTCCTAATAACCTACTTCTTTTTTCACTCCGCTTGCGCATGCGCATTGACAATTACCAAAGGAGCTTGGCAGATACTGCCATCTGTTGGATAAACTATTCGCTACATATTCCTCCCACCTGAATTTACTGGGAGGTAAATTCACACATCTGTTAAGTATAATATATGCATAATACTACAGTATATAATATTGAAGTTTAAAATTATGCCTACCAAGATGATCTAATTTAATTGAAATACTAATTACCTGGAATGCAGCATTCCATAATACATTCCATAATAATTTTCTAGACATACAAACAGATAATACTAAACCTAGAAAAATAAAAAAATAAATCATATTATTACAAAGTATTCAGACAAATACAAAACATTTCACAGACGTCTCACTGATTTCACAGTTCTACCACTGCTGGTAGTCATAGGAATATTTTCAGTCATATCCTTTTGGACTGGGTTATCCAGCTCAAGTCTGTACAGTCTTTGCACTGGTCTTCAGAAACTCAAAAGTCTCTGTTTTTATGAGAGCAAGTCTTATTTGTCCATCACGACCAGGTAGCAGCTTTATGACACACGCGCCAGGTTCCAAAAAGCACGTTTCTTTGTTGTTATCTTCCAAGTAGAACAATTTCACCAACCTGGAGAGGTTTAGCTATAGAGTTTTTAATGGACTGCTGACGTAACTGTCCTAGATATTCCACACGGAATCTTGCTCGAAGGTGTTCTCTCACCTTTTGTAGATACTTAGCTCGTTTACTCAGTTTTTCCTTATCCTCTGTATCGATATCAGGTACTCCTGATTTGGAAATCTCCCGCAGGAACATTTCTGGAGTTAATGGGGATGAATCTTCAACGTCTTCCGACACGTAGGTAAGTGGCTTAGTATTGATTACTCTCTCACAGTCGCATAGTACTGTAAGCAACTCCTCGTAATCCAGGGCAGCACGACCTAGAACTTTTCTCAGAATCAGAATCTGTTTCACCATTTGAACTAAACGTTCCCACCAACCGCCCCACCAAGGTGCGGAAGGAGGAATAAATTTCCACTGAATTCTTTGCTCAGCGGCCTTTGATCGCAGACTCTCCCAATCAATTGTATGCAGAAGGCTCTCCGCTCCTTTAAAATTACTGCCATTGTCTGAGTATATTATAGATGGTCTTCCTCGACGAGAAATGAAACGTCTCAATGACTGGAAAAAAGCTTCAGTTGTCAAGGATATTACTGACTCCAGATGAATGGCCCTATAGACCGCACATGTGTAAAGACCAATATAAGCTTTTCGACCATCTTTAAGGTAGAGGGGTCCTGCCAGATCGACACCCACTATCTCAAAAACATTTGCATCACGTACTCTATCTTTCGGCAAAATTCCTGGAGTTACATCACAACTTTTGGATTTAAATCTTTGACATTTAACACATTTTCTAATGCAGTTTCGTACTGTCTTACGAGTTTTGAGGATCCAATACTTTTCCCGCAAATGAGACATCACCATAGAAGTACCAGCATGCAGCAGCTCATTATGTGCATTCATTATTAGTAAGTTTTACTACTGCATGATCAGATGGCAAAATGACAGGAAACTTAAAGTCATCAGTATCGTCGCGATAAGAAATATTGTTGTTTTAGCTCTGATCAAACCATCACGATCAACTATAGGTCTGAGGTCTTTAATTTTATCATTCGTTCACACTCTTAAATGATTCTCTTTGAACCAATAACATAAGAGTTATCTCAGCTCTTTCAATTTCCGAAACTGACAAAATTTTGGAGGTTTCGTTTGTAATTCTTCGTAATTTAAAGTAAAACCTAAGAATCCAACCTAACATGCGTACAATTTTCTTTATGGATGAAAAGTACCTGTAATACCAATTGTCAGGTTTAGAATCTTTGTTAAGAGTTGTCAATACTGATTTACGCCTTTCTGAATTTATGATCTCTTCGTCCGGCAAATCGGTGCCTCTTGACCATGACGACGATTCTGGTTCTAACAGCCATGATGGGCCCTCCCACCATTTCGACAGCAAAAACTGTTTAACTGAACAGCCTCTAGAAGGGAGATCGGCGGCATTCAGCTCCGAAGGGATGTAATGCCAATCTTCTAGTTTTGTAAGTGTTCTGATTTCTTGGACACAATTCCAAACGAAAGTTCCCCACCGTACGTCTCGCTGGATCCAGCACAAAGCGGTTGTTGAGTCAGTCCAGAAGAATGTTCTTAAATTTGGCATGTTCAAATCTGAAAAGACCATACGTCCCAAGCGTGCTCCGATTAAGCAGAATAATAATTCCAAACGAGGAATGGATATACTCTTTAAAGGCTTAACTCTAGTGCGTGCTTAGCGGCCGAGCGGTAAAATCGTTGAACACTGGTAGTTCGGTCCGAGGTTCGAATCCCGCGAACGGGCTGGCTGCATGGGCGTTTTCGTGGTTTTCCCCATGTGTAACGTGTATACGAGCCAGTTCCCCTTAGAAAGTCCTCCACGAAGGCATCCCTCCTCTTAGGCAGATAGCCCTAGTGTGCTTTGCCGTATTCTCAATACACACACACACACACTAGTGCGTGCTTGCACAAAATTTAAATAAATCTTATTTTCGGTCTTCACTTTTAAGAAAATACAGGTAGCATAGGCATGTGTGCTGGCATCGCTGAAAACATGAAGACTTACATCTCCGTTAACCAATCTGTCAATATTAAGCCATCTAGGAATTTTGACATCAGACAGCAGTTTCATTTCCTTTACCCATTGCATGGACTTCTTTTCTAAATGTTCTGGCAATTTTTGATCCCAATTTAATCGTAATTTCCAACACTCTTGCAATATCACCTTTGGGAACAGGGTAACGGGAGAAAGGAAGCCTACTGGGTCAAATAACTTATGCGCGCAAGAAAGGAGTGTTCGTTTACTCGCGACAATCTCCTCTTTCTTTAGTGACTCAATTTTACAGGAAAGAGTATCATCCTTCAAATCCCAGTTTAATTTAACCCTAAAACGCAAACGAATGTATCTAATTTAGAGTTGGGAATTATTTCGGTTTCACAATTCGACTGCCATCCTATAAGATTAAACTTTCCCAACGACAATAACATTCTCGATTCTAGTACAAATCTATTCAATTCTTCAACATTCTTAAAACTAGTCAGGCAATTATCAACATAGAAGGACTCCTTCAAAATGTTGGCTGTAACTGCAAACTGATCTGGGGCACGATTTAAATGATAGTTCAACGTAGCGGCTAACAAAAATGGACTAC